GGAGTCATCTTGATACTGTCATTATAGCTTGTGTTGTAACAAAATTCTGCCCATCTCAAGAACTCAACCCAAGCAGTAGGTTTTTCCATGGCAAATGCACGTAGATATTGCTCAAGGCCCCTGTTAACCACTTCGGTTTGGCCGTCCGTCTGAGGGTGATATGCAGTACTATGTTTCAGCTTAGACCCGCTCAACTCAAATAACTTTTCCCAAAACTGGCTAAGAAAGAGAGGATCTCGATCTGAAATGATGATGCTCGGGAAGCCATGCAGCTTAACAACAGTATCAACAAATAAATTTGCAACCCGGATGGCGATGAACTTTGCAGGGAGTGCACCAAAGTGAGCAAATTTCGTGAGCCGATCAACTACCACCATAATGGCAGAAAACCCGTGTGATGGCGGCAGCCCAACGATAAAATCCATAGTTAGCTCATTCCAGGCTTGTTCTGGAATTGGGAGAGGTTGTAAGAGTCCAACAGGTGCTTTCGTGAGATACTTCGTTTGTTGGCATATGAGACATGAAGCTACATACTTTTCCACCGTGTCACGCATGTTGGGCCAATAAAAAGTTGCAGCGAGTTTCACTAGTGTGCGCTTGACACCAACATGTCCAGCAACTTTGGAAGAGTGGAAATCATGAAGTAAATTGTCAATTAATGATGAATTGTGACTGAGATAATACCTCGCTTTGTATAGTAGTATGCCGTTATCCCGTGTATACGCTGGACAGAGGTTTCCTGCATCATACTGAGCATGCAGTTTGCGCATATCCTCTAAAGTGGCATTTTCTTCGCGTAACAGCTCCAAAAAATCAGGCACTGGTCTAGAAGCAATCAATAAACAACTTGGATAGAGCATCAGCGACACTGTTATCCTTGCCCGGTTTGTACTCAATCTGAAAATCAAACCCCAACAGTTTATTGACATATTTGTTTTGTTCAGGAGTCAAGACAACTTGATGAAAAAGCTCCTTCAGACTTTTGTGATCTGTTCGTATGATGAAAGAATTTCCGAGTAAATACTGACGCCATTTACGGACATCTTCGGTGATAGCATAAAGCTCCCGTACATAGGTAGAGGAGTGCTGCAATTTCGGCCCAATCTTTTTACTGAAGTAAGAGATTGGGTGATCTTGTTGCATGAGAACAGCTCCAATGCCGACATTAGATGCATCTGTCTCCACGATGAAAACCAATCCAAAGTCGGGCAAACATAATACTGAAGCTGTTGTTAAATGAGTTTTTGAGCTCCTGGAAAGCCTCAGTAGCACTATCAGACCACTTGAACTGGTCCCTTCGCAATAAGTCGGTCAAGGGAGCGGCAATGGTGGCGTAGCCTTTTATAAAACGTCTGTAGTATCCTGCTAACCCGAGAAAGCCTCGAAGTTGTCGCACTGTTTTTGGTGTCGGCCAAGATACAATAGCTTCCAATTTATTTGGGTCAACATGGATCCCTTTCTTGGTGATGATGTGTCCGAGATACTCTGTTGAGTCTTGGCAAAAAACACATTTGGCTAATTTCAAATAAAATTGGTGACTCAGTAAGCATGAAAGGACCTGGTGTAGGTGCTCCAAATGTTCTTCAAGTGTCTTGCTGTAAATAAGAATGTCATCAAGAAAAACAGTGACAAACTTCCGGCGAAAAGCAGCAAATACCGTATTCGTGGTTGCTTGGAAGGTGGCGGGTGCGTTAGTCTATCCAAACGGCATAACCAAGAACTCATAATGTCCATCATGAGTGCGAAAGGCTGTCTTATGGATGTCACGTGCTTGAACCCGAATCTGGTGGTATCCTGCTCGTAAATCCAGTTTAGTGAACACAGTTGCTCCACCCAGTTCATCAAACAGTTCATCTGCTGTCGGAATAGGGAAATTGTCTCGGATTGTAACAGCATTAAGTGCCCGATAGTCCACACAAAAGCGATAAGTTCCGTCCTTCTTTCGAACTAGTAATATCGGGGATGAGAACGGGCTGTGACTAGGACGAATGATACCTTAAGCCAACATTTCTTTCACTAGATGTTCCATTTCACTTTTCTGAAAGTGAGGGTAACGATAGGGCCTTACATTGATAGGTTTAGTGTTAGGCAGAAGATATATTCGATGGTCGAAGGGCCGTTTTGGAGGAAGTGATTTAGGGGAATCAAACAATTCAGAAAATTCAAGCAACAATTGTTTAAATGGCTCTAGCAGACTAGAAGGAAGAGATAATTGATGTGGCTGAGGTGTGTCTGGGGTCATGGGGGGAGGTTCTCCACTTAGTTGATATATAGCAAAAACACAGTCAACGTTGTTGGAGTCAACCTCAGCTTCTAACTGTGAAAAGGAAATTGGTTGAATGTCTATGCAAGTTTCTCCCCGCAATGTAACCATCTTCCCTTCATGTTTGAATTTCATGGTTAAGTTGGCATAATCATGTGCCACAGGTCCCAGACTTTGTAACCAGTGAATGCCTAGGACCAAATCAGGCCCGACAATGGAAAGGACATACAAATCCATCTCAAAGCGGGTACCTTGCAAGTTCACAACAACGTTTGGGCAGTAATATTGGCATAGAAGCGTGTCACCATTGCCAATATAAACCTTAAACGGTTTAACTGGGTGTACGGGCAACTTTAGTGTTTCAACGGTAGATGGCTTGATAAAATTGTGAGTGCTCCCACTGTCAATCATGACCAAGAAATTTTGATTGTTTATGTTTCCCCAAATTCGCAACGAACGAGGGTTGTCATGACCAGAGAGTGTGTTCAAGGCTGGGATATCCCCTGCTATATCGTCCACTTCATTTCCGTCTGGTTCTAGTTCAGAGCTTTGAAGTCCATCCTCTTTGTGGTCAGGTGCAGCAATTAGAAGGTTGAATTTACTCCTACATTTATGACGAGGGGAGTATTTTTGGTCACAGTAGAAGCACAAACCCTTCTCTCGTCACGCTTGAACCTCTGTGGTGCTCATCCTTCTTACTGGAATGTTGTCAGTGATAGGTTGATTAACAAGAGTTGGTGTGGGCAGAATACCTTTTGAATTAGTGGAATTAGGAGCAGCGTTGGACCCTTGACCTCCAATATTCCATGTTCTAGTCTCAGGCATAGTTGATGTGTTCTTGGGACTCCATACTTTGGATGTAGTGCGATACTCTCTTTGGTTTTCATCATGTCGTGCTTCATATGCCTTAGCCAACTTAAAGGTCTCCAAAAGCGTTTGAGGTTTGGCAATCAGTAACTCTCGTTTCAACCCGGATTTTAGTCCGCCCACAAAGAAAGAGATCAGCAAGGTCTCCGGAATTCCGGTTACATTGTTCATGAGCCGTTCAAATTCAGTTTGGAACTCTGCCACCGTCCCCTTCTGTGTTAATTTCGCCAATTCGGCTCGGTGAACTTCAAAGTGTTGGGTACCGAACCGTTGTTGTATCTTTTCTAAGAAATCGTGCCACCCATATATGAGGTTGTTGCGTTTTGTCCAACGATACCATTCATCGACGTCCTTCTCTAAGCAAAAGCCTGCTATTTGTAGCCTCTGGTCTTCTGGGGTTCTGTGGAAATCAAAATATTCTTGAATGCTGAATATCCATTGTTGCGGCTCTTCTCCGTCGAATTTGGGTATGTCAAGCCGCATGGTAGAAGGGCGAGGCAATGGATGTCCGGTATAAGGTGGGTCAGATGGGTCAGAACGAAGCGGAGAACTTGATTCTCCTATCGTGAAGCCGTCAGGGGGCCTCCCCGGGGTATCAAAGGTCTGCTCCCTCCCTCGGATACTCTGCAATCGTGCCTCCATGGTTGCTGTGAGGGAAGTTATCTGTTCTCCCAGTTGGCATTGAATTCGTGATTCCTGGGATGCCATTTGCTCACAGATTTGATTTTGAAATCTGTCAAGCATTTGCTGCAGCGAATTTAGATCAAAGGGTGTGTCAGATGTCCTCACCATGGTTGGTTCTCTCAATGAAAGCACCAGTGATACAACGTAGTTGTACAACAGATCCTTAGTTCGAGTCAAGGATAAACTCCCAAGGGAACAAATAGAGAAGAATGTAGAATTTCAGGAATTAATTACTAGTCATACCAAATATGTTCTACTTTCAGAGATATATATACTGGCATATTACATGGACAGCAAGACACGAACTAAACAACAATCTCACGTACTAGCTAAATTATAGGAGATAAAACATGAAAGATTAAACTAAAATTAAGGCATGATGAAGTCAGCAAAACGTGCAGGGAGTTTCCTGGCCCGAGTGCTAACTGTTTTTCCATGGTTTCCCTTGTCAGTTTCTTTGGGTGTATCACCAAACCAAAAGAAACAAGCCAAAACACAAGCAGACTTGTGACCCGAGCAAATGGATACATCAAAACCATGAACCAGGCATGCATCGTATACATAATCCTTACTAGCAGCAAGTTCCTTCTTTGTTTATTGTCTCTATTACTTTATAAAACTGAGGCGGGAAAAACCGTAGTTTAGCTAGTAGCTCCTCATGAGAAAAATCAAAAGTAGTTAAAACCTTCTCCTAATGACCTAACTTCGATTTAGCTAGTTTTGGCTTTAGCTTGCATTGATTTTATGTAAAGGATAAAAGCTGAAACTTTTTTAGTGCCATTGATATTACTAAGGGATTGGCAAAATTGTCTTGTGAAACAAAAAATCAAAATTGAAAAGAGAAAAGTTAAAAATGAAAAAGAAGAATAGTTGGGGCATAAATTGAGACCATGCGGGTAATTTCCACTATAAAATATACAAAGATCGGACATTTATCAGATCCAGATCAGACTAAAGCAGACTAGATCATACTTAAACAAACATGACTAGATCAGATCAAATCAGACAAACAAATTACATTTCCAAAAAAAACATCCTAAACCAATCACATTTTAAGTAAATAATACGGAGTAACCTCTAATATTTTATTTTAATAATTTAAGAGCATAATATGGCCGTTGGCCCGTAGCTCTCTTTAAAGTTTAAAATTCTTTCTATTTATTTAGTTGTTGTAATTCAACGCACTCCCTCATTGATTTCCTAAAGTACCCAGAAACTTTGCTCCATCTTACTTTTTCTATTATAACGTCTCTCTGAAAGCAAAAAAAAAAAAGATCCCTTGCCTCATTGCCTTCTTCCTCCCCTGCATTTCATCAAGAACAAGAACCGAAATGTCACAGCCAAGATCGAACCTTTTTCCATCTTCCACCACAAGCAGTAGCAGCCGGAGCAGTATAAGCAACACAAGCAGCGATCTGGATGAAAGCCCATCGCCGTCAAGAAGACACGATTTCTGCCCGATTTCAAGAACCTCGATTTCCTCCCCTCAATCCCACAAATGCCTCGCGATTCTCTCGGGCCACGTCGGATCCGTTTCTTGCATAGCCCTGTGTGGAGAGTTCGTCCTCAGCGCTTCTCAGGGGAAAGACATCATAGTCTGGCAACACCCGGATTTGCGCCGGTTCACCAAGTTTGGCCATGGCGACGGTTCCGTCAGGGCGCTGTTAACGGTCGGTAACAGAGTCTTCACGGCTCATCAGGATAGCAGAATCAGAGTGTGGAAGGTTTCGAGGAAATCAGAGAATCTATTTCGGCTGGTTGACAGTCTTCCCACTGCAAAGGATTATCTGGGGAGGTTCATGAGGCAGAGTAACTATGTGCAGACCAGAAGGCATCACAAGAAGCTGTGGATCGAACACGCTGATAGTATCTCCTGTTTGGCTGTTCACAATGGTTACGTCTATTCAGGTTCTGTTAATCACTCTTCTTTTATTACTGTAATTTTTTCTTTATATATTCTTTGCAGTGTGGTTTTACAATTTAATTTTTGCTCTAAGTTTGTGCAGAAGACATAAATATTATGTGAAGCATTTTGGGGTTGAGGGATGTCGTGCGGCCACAATGTCCTTCCTTTAATATAGAACCAATGGTAGTTTTGGTAATTTGGTTGTTTAACTGAGAAAATTATTTTCAAATACTTCGTATTTTTGTAAATATTTTAAAATACAAACAATAGATGAAAAATGGACCTTTAATAAGAAGTAATAGTGATATTTTCATAATGACTATAGAATAAATTTATATTCTATTTTACACTATATTTGATCATGTTACATTTTCATAATATGAAATATGTGGTGATGTTTATTACTTTATTTTTACACTAAGCTGATTATTATATACTACGTATGATGCAACTGTTCCATACAAGTGTAGTGAACATCTAGTCATATCTTTAACAATGTGTTCTATTTTAGTAATATTATAAAGAATTTCAAATATTAAATTAAATTATACTCGTATATATGGTGTCAAAAATAGAGTTCATTTTACAAATGGTGTTTTCCAAAAGAAGAAAAATTAGTTTGATCGATCCAAGCTAACTTTAATGTAATTTTGTCAAAAAACAAACAAAAAACATTGCCAAACAAATTAATATAATAAATTAAGTGAGACCACCTAGACAAAATTTAAAGCGAAACTCCTGATTTATGACATGTCTATCTCACCAAATTCAAAAGGTTGTAGCAAAATAAATCTCACCAAATTTAAAACGTTGTACATTTGGTCAAACATGACTTCTTTGAAAGAGTAGTAATTACTAGCCATTTATTGTTGCTTTCTGTCATATTACAAGTAAGCAAGTATTCAAGTCCTAAGTGAATAATTTTATGACTTGGATTGCAATTAATACAGTTTTTTTGATCAATACTACAACTCTTCTTTCGCAGGTTCGTGGGACAAGACCCTGAAGGTATGGAGGATTTCAGATTTGAAGTGTCTGGAGTCAATCAAGGCGCATGACGATGCGATAAATGGGCTGGTCGCGGTCGAGGGGTCGGTCTACTCGGCTTCTGCTGATGGGAAAATCAAAGTTTGGAAGAGAGAAGGGAAGAACAGACACTCATTGAATCGTGTATTGGAAGGGCACAAAGATGTTTCATTCAATGCAGTTGTGGTTTCTGGGAATGTGGTTTATGGAGCAGGTTCAGATGGGTATGTGATGGGATGGACCTTAGGGAACAAAAGGGTTTGTGAAGTGAAGGGACATGAAATGTCTGTTCTGTCCTTGTGTGTGATGGGGGATTTCTTGTGCAGCGGCTCAGCTGATAAGAGCATTGGTATATGGAAGATGGGAATTGATGGAGGGTTGTTTAAGGTTGGGGTTATAAAGGGACATGAAGGGGGTATTAGATGTTTGCAGGCTTCACCAGTTTGTGTTGGGGGTGGGTTTATGTTGTACAGTGGGAGTCTTGACAGAAGCCTCAGGGTATGGTGGGTCCCAAATTATTGTTCTGGTACAACAGATAAGCCTTATTTGAGTCAAAGTACAGATGCCAAGAATCTCAAATTGTTGCCCTTCAAAGATTGTTGATGTTATCAATGAGAACTCGCCCATCTATCCATTTTCACCTTGACCGTTTTGATCGTTTGGGCAAAGTGATGGGTCGACCAATGAGCATTTGAGATCCAAAAAGTATAAAATATCAACCATGTTTGATTTACACACCCTTGTACACACCTTACACACACCATGTTTGTGAAATTTTTTTTCTCTGTGAACCCAGTTCACAGACAATATTTTGTTTGTGCAAAACATTGTCTGTGAATCGATGTTCATAGACAAAAAAAAGCTTTCACAGACATACGTGTGTACAAAAGTGTGTATAAGAGTGTGTACAAACATCATTTTTGATAAAATATACTACCTCCGTTCCACAAAATTCTTCCCACTTTGACTTGGCACGAATATTAAGAAAATGAAATAAATTGGAAATGTGTGGTTGTGATTGTGTAAGAAAAACGTGAAATGAATGTGAACCACATAAAATTTGTCCAAAAATGGTAAGTGAGAATTTTTTTTGGAACGACTCAAAAAGGAAAGTGGGAAGAATTTTATGGGACGGGGGGAGTATCTGCTTCTTAAAATAGTTTAGGACATTTTTTGTTGTCTGTAATATGTGTTTTATACTTTTATGGATTTGGTTTTGTGTGGGTTATGTATTTAATGATTATAATGGGTTCTTGTCCCTTGTTATACCGTGGTATATGAGAGGGCCTCTTTTGTAATTACGTGTAAAAAATGTTTGATGTGATTGATGTTGTTCTTTATGTAACTCATGTTGTGTTTTGGAGTAAACAACATTACAAATGGTGTAAATACATACGGAGTATGAAAAATGCTTAAGAAATGGTGTAAATGTTAATATAATATTATATGTTTTGTGTAAATAATTGGATTAATTATCAAAATTAGGACTTAAAATCACTCACTTTGCACAAATAGGACAAAAAAAAACTATATTTTCATAGGACTAATTATGGATGTCTTGGACAAATATATCCTCATAGCTATTGAAATGTTTTAATTCATAATAAAATAATAAAAAATAATAAAAATTCGTAAAAAATACTAAAAAATTAATAAAAATATTTCAATAATAATAATTTATTTATTTATTTTGAAAAAAATAAAAAAATTAAAAAAAAAATAAAAAAATTAAAAAACTCAAAAAAATAACATAAAACTCAACGCCGCCTCTGCACCACCACCTCTAGTCACCAGGAAAAAAAATGCCAAGTTCATTACGAATGTCATATTTATGGCAGAAAATAATGAAAATGTTGGCATTCTCAAAGAGAAATATGCCATGTTTTTGGCATTTTCAGAAAAATGGCAGTTTTTAGGAAAAATGACATTTTTTTCACCGACCGGAGATGGTGGTGCAGGGAGGTAGTAAGGCGGTGGGAAAGACTTCCATATATTTTTTAATTTTTAATGGAGTTTTACTATTTTTTATTAATTTTTTTAAAAAATAAAAATTAAAAAAATTATTTTTTAATTTTTTATTTTATAAATATTTTATAATTTTTTTGATTATTTTAGTACGAATTGATAAATACTTCGGTTATGTAAGTATGATATATTATTGGGTTACTACAATATAGCTTATTGATAAATACTTCCCGCATTGACTTAGATCAGAATTTAAAAAAGTGAGAACAAAGTAGAAATGTATGATTCTGGTTGAGTAAGAAAAATGTAAATGAATGTGAGCCACATAAAACTTCTCAGAAAAGGAAATGAGAACTATTTTTTGGGACGGCCCAAAAAGGAAACCAGGAACTATTTTGCGGGACGGAGGGGCTAGTTTTGTAAGTATGGAAGAAGGTATGTAAGTGTGGTATATACTTTTGTGTGGTGTAATACTATTTGATCATATAAAAGTCATATGTGTGGTATAAATGTTGTTTTAATAATGTACATCACATGTAAACATATGTAAATATAGTATATCTACCTAATGGAATAAGACGGAAATAATTGGAAGAACTGTCAAATAAGCCCATCTATCAAATAAAAATTGTGAAGGGAAACTTTAAACCAGTTTATTTTAATTCGTTATTTAATATTGACAATACGTACGTATTAAGCAAATACTCCAGTAAAACACAATCAGTGTTCCAAAAATAGTTTTTTTCCGAATTTAAAATGGGTGAGAAGGAATAATAGAAAGGAAAACAACGCCAAGGTACAAAATCTGCTTTAAAAAGATTATGTGTGTGTTTGTATGAGAGAGTTCAAATACAAATAGGTCTTCCCATGAAAAGTGATAATAAATCTTGTTCATTCATTTCCACATCTAATGGCTCAAATGAGGCAATAATGCACTATTTTTGTCAAAAATTTGGTGACAATTTCGTAAATAAATCGAATTTTTTTTGGCACCGTGGAAAAGTGCAACAAAAACATGCAATAACGAAACAGAAAGAGGGGGAAATATATATTCCTTTCATATACTCCGTACATTATGAATATTGTACACATAACTATGAAGTGGAACAATAATAGTAATAATAATGATAATAATAAAATTACTATTACTATATTGTTACTACTAATCAATAATAATCTATTATAACTACATATTTTAGATTAAGAATATTGTTTTAGAATTGTATAATAATACAAAAAAGGAGTCACATAGTCAGAACAAATATATGTTGGTCACTATGAAGATTTTATTCTACTAATCTTTTTCATATTCTTCAAAACTTGAAATGTAGTCATTTTTCAAATTTGGTATGGACAACAGACGAGACCGACCCACCTGTAATTATGCTAATTAATTAAAATAAACTACAAACTCATCATACTTGATTAATAGCAAACATGCATGGATATGATATGCATCCTTATTAGTGTAGATGAAATAAAGATTAATTGAATGTTTCTTGGGATGAGGATCTTAAATTAACAAGACAAAATACACTGAGTACATGTTAGAGCCGGGCCAACATGTTTAAAGGTGAATGAGGGTTAGGGCTATTTAGGAATGTAAAATGTGTTGGGGTAACACAAGGCAATACTTAGTTGTACTCTATGCTATTTATGTTGTCCTTTAAAGTCAAAACCTTTGGTTTCTATGCTTTCTGTCTGATCTCCGTTAGGACCGTTACATCTCAATCATAATCATTAGCACACGTTTGAGAAAATATGTAAAACTGAAACTTATAATACATCATCACATGGACAAATAATGGTAGCCTGCCTGTATCTTCTAAAAATAATAAAGCAAGCTGAAAGGTCGGTGACATTTTGGGATGTTGAAATCACAACTCCAACATTTATTGTTTTCATGGCTGACATTTTACTTTGTCAGCTTATATGCTAATATGCTTATTGCTTACTCCCCGTACGTAATGGCTTATTGTTGTTCTATGAATCGAATGTGCTGCTGCTTTTAATAAACAATGCAATTTATGGTCTTTAATCATCAAGTAGTTTGTCCAACCGGTGGCTGGACAAATCGGGATGTTTAATACTTCGTACGAAGTAGTTTGTTTGAGAATTATATATTGTGATCGTAGCAGGAGCCATCGACCTGAATTTTGAGTCTATTTTTTTACGAGTTTAGCGATTCAGCTTTTTCAATTTGAATCATCTGTTTATATGTCTCATCTCATTGTAGCTTTGAGTTATATGATTGTAGTTGTTATTGGGCATTTTCCCGATCGCGCAACGCGCGTCACGCAACTAGTAAATGACTTGGATCGGAATTTAAGAAAATGGGAATAAAGTAGAAATGTATGATTGTGGTTGAGTAAGAAAAATGTAAATGAATGTGAGCCACATAAAACTTTCCAAAAAGGGAAATGAGAACTATTTTTTGGAACGACCCAAAAAGGAAACCGGGAACTATTTTGCGTGACGGAGAGGCTAGTTTTGTAAGTGTGAAAGAAGGTATGTAAGTGTTGTATATACTTTTGTGTGGTGTAATACTATTTGATCATATAAAAGTCATATGTGTGGTATAAATGTTGTTTTAATAATGTACATCACGTGTAAACATATGCAAATATAGTATATCTACCTAATGGAATAAGACGGAAATAATTGGAAGAACTGTCAAATAAGCCCATGTATCAAATAAAAACTGTGAAGGGAAAATTTAAACCAGTTTATTTTAATTTGTTATTTAATATTGACAATACGTACGTATTAAGCAAATACTCCGGTAAAACACAATCAGTGTTCCAAAAATAGTTTTTTCCGAATTTAAAATGGGTGAGAAGGAATAATAGAAAGGAATACAACGCCAAGGTACAAAATCTGCTTTAAAAAGATTATGTGTGATTTTTATGAGAGAGTTCAAATACAAATAGGTCTTTCCATGAAAAGTGATAATAAATCTTGTTCATTCATTTCCACATCTAATGGCTCAAAATGAGGCAATAATGCACTATTTTTGGTCAAAAATTTGGTGATAATTTCGTAAATAAATCGAATTTTTTTTGACACCGTGAAAAAGTGCAACAAAAACATGCAATAATGAAACACAAAGAGGGAAATATATATTCCTTTCATATACTCCGTACATTATGAATATTGTATACATAACTATGAAGTGGAACAATAATAGTAATAATAATGATAATAATAAAATTACTATTACTATATTGTTACTACTAATCAATAATAATCTATTATAACTACATATTTTAGATTAAGAATATTGTTTTAGAATTGTATAATAATACAAAAAAGGAGTCACATAGTCAGAACAAATATATGTTGGTCACTATGAAGATTTTATTCTACTAATCTTTTTCATATTCTTCAAAACTTGAAATGTAGTCATTTTTCAAATTTGGTATGGACAACAGACGAGACCGACTCACCTGTAATTATGCTGATTAATTAAAATAAACTACAAACTCATCATACTTAATTAATAGCAAACATGCATGGATATGATATGCATTCTTATTAGTGTAGATGGAATAAAGATTAATTGAATGTTTCTTGGGATGAGGATCTTAAATTAACAAGACAAAATACACCGAGTACATGTTAGAGCCGGGACAACATATCATGTTTAAACATACACCGAGGGTTGAAACATGTTGGCCCTGTTATCATAATATGGCACTAATAGGTTCAACACTTATAATATACTTACTTCGTGCCAAAATTCAAATTAGAATATACTACGTAATAAAAATTGATATCCTAACTAAATAAGTAGATAAAATGAACTGCATTGAAAAAATTGACTTTGTAAATCATTTTGAGGCTAAAAGAGTATGTTTCCACAGGAAGAAACATAAAGCTAAAGTGCAAGAGTTTGTCTCCCAAGATTTAGGAAATTGGATTCCCTACTTGCTTTTGATATGATTTACGGACAAGATTCTTTCTAGTAATGAACTAAAAGAAACCAGTTGTTCTTAAGGCTTAAGAGTAGGCTCCTATCCTATGAGAGCTCTTCGTGAACCAAATTGCAATATATATTACCTGACTTTTACCCAACATTTACCCTTTATTGACTATGACTCTATGAGGGAAAACATATTTTGAAAAACAACACCAAAACTCCAAAAGAATAAAATGATCGGGCTAGAATTCAAATGTTTGAATACCTCAAATAAAAATGCTTAATTATATATACATTTGCGCCATCATGGATTAAAAATAAAAATATGAACTAACATGAATTAGAAATGTGGTGACAATTTTAAAGACACAATTATATTACTATATGATCGGTTTATTCATAACTTTTCTTAATTATTCATGTAAAATACAGAGAAAAATATGATTTTGAAACCATGCATTCCAGCTCAGGCCAGCTGATTGTGAGGTTACCGTGCCTAGTGAGAG